CCTGGACAAGTACTTTGGCAGTGTAAGTCTCCCCCCCAACCCAGTTTCCGTACCCAGCAGTCCCCTCTTACGACCAAACTGTGGGGCCCTTCCAATCTCTGCCCTGGCAGACTTAGGGGGAACAGTGAGAACAGAAATTAATCTTAAATCTTTTTAAAAATCTTAAACCTATTAGCCATACCCCTAAATCAGTCTGGGGGAGTTAGGTGGGGACCAGAATCTGCCACTTAATCAGTCCATCTAGAGCTCTGTCTTTTAAGGACAGAGGCCATTGAGCTTCAGATTTTATCAGCGGTTCCAGATCTTGACTTTATATTGGAACCTTATAGAGTTTTTGTTATTGCCTATGTCTGGGTCTGATGCCCGGAGATTTTGAATGGGGTATTGCCTGCCTGCACCATGGCAGTCAGTTCAGACCTTAATAAAAAACTCTGTGATTTGTATTCCACTTCACAATTTACAAAGTGCTTTCAGGTTCTCTTGTTTGTTCCTTGCTGCATCCTAAGGGTGGGCGTTGGTGTCTCTGTATTCAGATGAAAAACTGAGACTAGAGAAATTAACTGATGTATAGCTGGCTGATAGTAACAAGAGTCCCACTTGGAACTCAAGTCTTTTCACCCATGATCCAGAATCTCCTTCCCTACCCTACAGTACCTAGGGAGAGGTACCCTGGACAGTGTCACAGATATGGGGGTGGGTGGGAGAAGGCAACAGAAAACACAGTCAAGAGGAGATTCAGGTAGGGGCCTCCATGGTGGCATAGGGATTAAGTCTCAGCCCTATCACCATCACGGCCTGCCTGAGTTTGATCCCCTGCCAGGGTGCTAACCCACATGGTGCAGCAGACCTCTCCTGTCTTGCCCACTGCTCCCCTCAGCAGTGTATTTCAGTGGCTCTGCCTGTTTTGCTCTCCACTCTGTCTCTGTCTGGTGAATCTTCTCACCCCCTACATCTCTGGCCTACGCCCCAGTTCTTCTATGCATAAATAAATTTAAAAAAAAGAGGCGATTCAGGCAACTGAATACTAGAAGTACCTAATGTGTTACAATGTGTAACATGATCACAGAGAAAGAGTATAAGGAAAAGGAAGCGCTAAACCAAGCTCTAAGTCCTTGGGGGTTGGGAGGACCTAAGACCAGGGGCCAGAACCCAAGTTTGGAGGCATGGTCATGGAGAGGACCATGGGTAAGAAAAGAGGGGGTGTGTGCTGGTGCGTGGGAATGCATCTGATCACTCAACTTTGCCTTCTCTCCCTCTTCCCAGGTGTGTGAGCTAGACATCATCTTCAACTTTGAGAAGGCCTACTTCATCTTGGATGAGTTTTTGATGGGGGGTGACGTCCAGGATACCTCCAAGAAGAGTGTGCTGAAGGCCATCGAGCAGGCTGACCTGCTGCAGGAGGTATGGACCTGGGACAGTGAGGAGGAGAAAGAGTTCCGAGGCGGAGTGTACCCTTCCTTCCCCGGACACCCTGCCCACTGGCCACAGTTATCTCCTCCCCGCCACCACCTGGCGGCCCCCTCCCTGTGGCATCTGGCCCTTTGGCACCCTGTTGTCCAGCTTGCCCTCAAGCCATAATTGCACAGGGTAAAAGTGGGGCTGGCACATAGCCTGCCCTGCCAATTCTCCTCTGCTTCTCCCAGAACCCAAGGTGCCTCATCCCAGTGAAACCTCCTTTGTCCCACACTTCTCTTGGCATTAAGGCTTGCTCAGAGAATTGGAGAAGGGGCACATGATAGCTCATACTTTACTTCCGTGGTATCTCCCCCCTTCTTTTTTACACTCACATACTCAAAAGTCCCTGCTTCTCAGAAGCAAAAGACGGGCGATTTGGAGGTTGGGGTAGGGGCACCTGGCTGTTGGTTCTCCCAGCTATCCAGCACCCCCGCCCTCTCCCCATTACTGCCTGCCCCCTCTCTGCTGTGCCACTGCTGAGACTTGGTGCAGGGAGATGAGTCACCAGAATCTGCAGTGACGAGCAAGCCAGCCGAGCTGGCTCTGAGGAGGGGGAGAGATGTGGGGGCTCATCTCTGCAGTAGGAGAAAAGGAAGAATTGAACTTGCCAACTCACTGGTCCAGCTTCCCCTACACACACACACACACACACACACACACTCACACTCCTATTACTAGTGCTCTGCTCAGACCCTAATGACTCATCTCTCTGCAGTCTGGTTCACCTTCCCTGATGCCAACCTCTTATTCTACTCCCCCCCACTCTGGGGGAAAAAAAAAGCCCAACCATTTGTCACTCCCCAGCCCTGGGAAAGCACCCTAGGTTCCAACCTCTCTCCTTTTCCCTTGGGTACTAAGACTGCGCCCCCTGCTCAGCACACTCTGGGTTCTCTGGATGGTGGTAGACTCAACCTGGTACCCCTCCTGGCCACTGTTGACTCTGGGGGTGGAGGCTAGTGAGCTCCTGTGAAGAGTTTCCTGAGTTGGGCTCATATTGGCTTCTCTCTCCCCTCCCCATGTCTCTCTGCTCCCCACCACTCTGCCTCTGTCCTCATGATTGCTTTGTCTTGCTCACCCCCTCCCTCATTCCCTGTCTGCCTCTCCTGGTATCTCTGCGTCACCCTGTCTGTCTCTGCCTTAGGAGGATGAGTCGCCACGCAGTGTGCTGGAGGAGATGGGGCTGGCATAGCCCCCGCCCTGTGCCATGTGGAGATGTGGAGAGCTGGCGGAGAGGTGGGGCAGGAGCTGCCCTTTTCTTGGTGGGACCCAGCTGCCCCCTCTGCTGCTTCATCTTCATTTGGAGTGAGCTCTGGGCTCAGGACCCTCAAACATTCCCTTCCTTCATCCCATACTTCCTGTTTCCCGTTTTCCCAAAGAAGGTTTTAGGAGTTAGGAGATAGGAAAATGTGACCAAGCAGGGGTGCTATTTGGTTTTCATTCCCTGCCTTTGAGGAACTAATGTTACCCCCAACTTCCTCCCCTCCCTTATAACTGTAAATATATAAATATGTCAGGTTAAAGGGAAAAGGTGTTCAGGGCTCTTCTCTTCTCCCTGCCCCATAACCTACCTCCACCCCTCCCGAAGCCAGCCAGGGCTGCTGCTCTGCCTGGGAGGGGCTTCTGTGTAGTGAAAGGGAAGTCCTTTCCCGCATCCGCTCTCTCTCCGTCCTTCTTGACTGCGGTGGGGCCTCTGTCCAATGCCAGGGGAGCAACAGCTTAGTTAATTTTTTTCTAACCTTGCCACTTTGAGGAAAGGGAGGGTTGGGGGAAGGGCAGGCTTCATGGGAGACTGGGTTTCTGTCACTCCTGGTTCTGGGTGACGCAGAAGCTAAGGGGTGGGGTGGGGGGAGTGTCGGACTTTATTTCCTTTACTCTGAAATAAAAGTAAAAACATTTCTGGACTTTGCCTGCCTCAGGCTCTGTGAAGGAAGGAATGGCTGCTGGGATCAGACAGAAGATTAAGGGAGCACTGCCCTTCATTTCTTCCCTGAACCAGGCTTGCCAGATGTAGGGGGGAGGGGAGAGGACACCAGTTTATTTTATTTTATTTATTTTTTTAAAGGCAGATCCTAACTATTTCTTGGAAGTACTATCTCCTTTTTTTTTTAAAGATTTATTTTTTATTTATGCATACAAAAGCTGGGGTATAGGCCAGAGGTGTGTGGGGTGAGAGAATTCACCAGAGACAGAGTGGGAGCAGAACAGGGAGATCTAGTGAAATACACTGCTGAGGGGAGCAGCTGGTGAGACAGGAGAGATCTGCTACGCCATGTGCGTCAGCTCCCTAGCAGCTTCATAGTGCTGAGACTTCACCCCTTGCGCCACCAGGGAGACTGGACACTTTTAATATGAGTGATAATACTATTTTTAGTATAAGTGTGTCCTGTGTAAACACACTTTTTTTTTTTAATCTGAAATGCTCATTTAACTGGGTGGCCTGTGTTTTGTCTGGCACTCCTACCCCAGACAGATCCCTGGGCTCAAGACCTCCCTGAGGGCAGTGCCATCAGCTCCTGGAGCTGCCCTCAGCCAGAGAGGGGCAACTCGGGTGCCACTCCCGGAGGTTTCCCTGTGGAAGATTTCATTCCCTGGTTTCCTTTTATTGGGGTAGGGAAGTCAGGAATTCAAGGGTATCTCCTCCTCCCTATGCTGGGAAAAGCGTTGGATGATCCCTAAAACCAATCGTTTCTGTGTCTGCTAGTCATCCCTCCTCCCCACAGTTCTTGTGAAATACATGGGACCAGGGGATTTAGGGGCCATTTAAGGGAAGCCCCTTCATTTGGATGAAGAGGGGCTTGAGGAACCATCCAGCACTGCCCAGCTGGCCCTGGGTCTTAGCAGAGCCTTCTAGGTGCCCCAGAACTGCAGCACCTTATCCACTCAGCTCTGGCTGGAAGTGGAATTCAGCATTTCTTCATAGCTACGGACAGTGTGCGGCCCCTAAATATGGTTGAAAGTGGCTCCACCACTCAAATTTTGATTTTGATTTAGAGCTGGAGGAGACAGGGGTCCTGGCTGGCGCTCCCCTCACCGCCCCTTGGGAAGGGCCACAGAGGCCCTAGGGGACGGGTGAATAACCGATAACAAAGTCCTAATAAAATAGTCACTTTTATTTCTTAGCAAAACTATTTCCTCCGTGAGGGGTATTTACAACAGAAAAGGGAAAGAAGGGTCAATTCACAGCGATCTGGAGAGGCTCGGAGGGCCGGAGACAGACACACTTCACACAACTAACTGGAACTGCTTTTCCGGAGTCGGAGGGGAAGGTCCCGGAGGGACGAGCAGGGGACGCAGCCCCGCGGGGCGCAGGAACTCGCACAAACCACTCGCCCGCCAGGGCTGGTCCCGGGACACCCGTAAGTGAGTTTTGGGGATTCGGACGCCGGGCCTGCGAGGAGGCCGGGCCGGCGGGGGCGCGGCCGAGCCGGGGCGGGGCCGGCCGGCGGCCGCGGCGGGGCGGGGAGCATGCAAACACCGGGGAGCCGGGGAGCAACACGGAGGGGGGCGGCGGGGCGCGCGGCCGAGGCGCGCGGGGGCGGGGCCGGCTACGGGCGCCGGAGCAGCACGTGCTCGATGTAATTCTCCAGCTCCTCCTGCTCCTGCAGCCGGCGCTCCTCGGCCTCCGCCGCCTCCTGCGCGCGCCGCGCCTGGGCCTCGGGGTCGGGGCGGGGGCGCGGCGGCGGCAGGGCGTGGTGGAAGTGGCGGCGGCGGGCGGCGGGCTGCGGCTGCAGCGTCCGCGGCCGGATGTAGTTGGGGAGGGGGTGGTAGGGCCCGGGGGGAACAGCTCGTCCTCCGCCCGGTCCCAGGGCGGGAGCACCTCGTTCCACTCGGGCAGCTCGTCGCGCGCGGGGGCGGGGGCCGGGGCCGGGGGCTGCGGGGAGCGGACGCGCGTCGGGGCGGGGGCGCCCCGCGGGGGCGGCACGGGCTCGGGGGGGGCGTTCTTCTTCCGCTTCCGCTTCTCCTCCACCTCCTCGATGATGCTGACCACGTCGTCCGCGGGCAGGTGCAGCTTGGTGGACAGCTCGATGAGGCTGTCGATCGTCTGCGGGTCCATCTCCTCGTCGTCGTCGTCCTCGCCGCCCGCCGCCGGGCCCTCGGCCTCCTTGCGCCGGTGGCCGGGCGTCTCCTCCTGGGAGCGCTTGTCCTCCGCGCCGGCCTCCGCGTCCTCCTCCTCGGCGAACAGCAGCGCGTTCTGCCGCGCCCTCTCCGCCTCCTCCGCCTCGGCCTCCGCCTCGGCCGCCTCCTCGTCCTCTCCCCCCGCCCTGTCCTCCCCGCCGCGGCGCTCCTGCTCGGCCGCCTCCTCCCGCTCGCTCTCGCGCTCCTGCTCCTGCAGCCCGCGACCCCCCAGGCCGCGCTGCCGGGCCCCGCCCTGCAGCAAATACTGGAGCAGCAGGTCGGAGGCGAGGTCGGCCAGCCGCTCCTCCTGCGCCGCGGCCTGCCGCGTGGCCTCCGCCTGCCGCCGCCCGGCCTCTACCTGCGCCAGCCCTTGCTGTAGAAGGCGCTCCCCCGCCTCCGAGCCGCCCAGGAGGGAGCTCTCCGGCCGGCGCACCTTGGGGAAGGGAACGCCCAGGCCTGGGTACGCCTTGGAGAGGGGTGCCAGTGCCTCGCCTAGGTGTGTTTTGGGGGAGGACACGACTTCCCCGAACTGGTGGGTTTCGGGAAGGGGCCCGTTCTCGGGCACACGCGCCTGGAATTGCGGGGGAGCAGGGGGAGGCAGGGGCGAGCGCTCCGGGACGCGCGCCTGGAACTCTCCCCAGGAAGCGCGCCACACGCGCTCGGGCCCCGGGCTCTCCAGGTTGACTCGGGTCAGCGTGTGCGTGCGAGTTTCGGTCTCTGCTGCCGCGGTTTCTTGCTGTCGTTTGGCGTTGCTCGGACTGAAATCTCGCAGTTCCTGGAGCAGGGACGCTAGCGCCTCGAGCTCCTCGGAGGGGTCGCCCGGCTCGGGACCATTTTCCTGAGTCTGGGGGCGAGGTGGAGCCGCGGGCGCCTGGGTCTCGGGCGCCTGGAGGCTGTGGGTCTGACTGCGCACGGTCTCTGTCAGCAGAGCTTCGGCTGCTTCTTCCTCCGGCCCCTGCTGGGAGTTGCCGGGCGCCGGGGGCGAGGCCGGGCGGTCAAGTGCCTGCAGCAGCACCGTGGCCAGCGCCCGAGGATCCACGCCCTGGAAAAGCTCTCCCTCGTCCTGCGGCTCTGAATTTCGAGCGGCGCGGACCTCTGGGGTGCTAACATCCTTCTGCCCGGGCACTGCCTCCCCAGCTACTGACTCTTTATGCTCAGAGCTGTGGGGAGGTGGCTGCGCCTCAGGGTGCCCCGGGGGCGCTGCTCCCAACCCCTTGGTCAGTAGAAAGAAGCAGAAGAGGGTAGAAGCCGACAACCTGAGCGATTTCATGGCCAAAGGACTGCCTGAGACTGAGAAATAGAAGGGACAAAAAGGGAGAAAAAAAAAAGGGGGGGAATTTCTGTAAGAATTTCCCATCTCTTATTCTGTATTCCCTTCCCCCACCTTTAGTCGGGAAATCCGGGGCTTCCCTCGTCCCTCTAAACCTTACCCAAAAGAGGAATGTTTAGGAGCAAAGACGGAAGATGTGCCGGATCTCTGGAGTCGTGTAAATGAGAAAACGCCCGCAACCCTCACTTGCTCCAGTGCCTCCTCGCCCCCTTCCCTGAGCCATCTCACTGCCAGCGCCCACGTATTAAGCAGCAAGGATGGGGGGGGGAATCTCTGCTCCCTCCCTACAGGACTCCCCGGATGGTGCGTGGGCGACTTAGGCAGCAAGAGAAAAGAGGCGACTCCCTATTTATCAGGGACCCTTACCGGGGGCTTCCCGCTGTGTTTTCAACACCCCCCCATCCGGGAGGAGAGAACCCTCCCTCACGCCCACGGTTGCCGAGGGTTTGAGGGTCGGACAGCGGAGTATTTACCAGCTGGTGTCAGACGCGGGAGGTGGAGAGAAGGGTCGGGGCGGGGTGGGGACAGGGAAAGATCGGGACGCGTCCGCCTCGGCTCCGAGTGCTGGCTGGGATACGAGCGACGGTCGCGGTCTGGCGTCTCCGGTGGGCTGGGCGCTGTTGGGTCGGCGCAGCTCCGGGCAGCTCGCTCGCTCCGGCTTCAGCACGCTGGACAGCGCCCGCGCCGCTGGCGTCTTATAAAGGGGAGCGCGCAGGGTCACGTGGGCTCGCCCCGCCCCATTGACGTCAATGTTCATTCATGGGGAAGCGGGCGGGCGCCTAGCGGAGGGAGGCTACTCCGTGATTGGAGGACCCCGTCCGCTCCCGGCCTGCGCCTGCGTACTGGGAGCTTGGGCTGGAGGGGCGTGCTCTAGCCGAGCACCGGGGAAATGAATGAATGAATGAACGAATGAATGAAATGCCGAGGCGGGCGGGGCAGGGGGGGTCTATGAATGAATGAAGGTGGGACGAGGAGAAAAGGATGAATGAATGAATGGAAGAATGAATGGAAGGGTGGCTGCAGAGACGCTGCAAGGCGGCAGGGAGGGTTACAGAGCAACTTGCAGCGGCGGGAGCCCGCATCGCTGAGCGGAATAGGATGGGGACACTCCCAGCGTCTGACTGGGAACCAGTAGGAGTTCCATACTGGGGAGGGGAAGGATATGGATTCCGAGCAAAGGAGGGGTAGACCTCCCATCCCCCGGTCTCTCTGTCTATGGGGAACACGCCCAAGGACGGCGTGAACCTGAAAGAGGAGGATCTGCGCGCCTGCGGGCGCTGTCCGCGGATCTGCGGTGCGGGGTGCCGGTCCCTGGCCGGGGCAGATGGGTGGATCTTGCGGTTTTGATAATCCCGTCAGAAAGGGTCCGAGTCGGAAGAGAAAGAGAGAAAGATTGAGGATGTGTGTGCCTCTGTGTCGTGTCTGTTCACGGGCGGTGCGTGTCTGGAGAAAAAGGTGTGTCCTTCTGTCCAGCTGACTCTCGCGTATGCTGGAGCCCCTGCTGTGCCCCCTTTTAGCCCACCCTCGTGTTCCTTTCCCTCCTGCTGTTTTCTTCCCTCCCCCCTCAAAGGACGTTTGGAGGGCGAGAGCAGACCAGGTGGGGAGGGGGTTGCGCAGGTGAAGGGGGTGACTCAACTCCTGCTCTCTCCACTGCTTTAAAGGGAAGGTTTGAACGCTATTGGGTGGGGGGGGGGAGCGTGCAACGTCAGAGATCGCCCCTCTGCCACCAGACCCCTCGTTCGTATCTCCAACCAGAGGAGCTGGGGCTGGGGGCTTGGACAGTTAGAAGTTCCGGGGAGGGTGGGGGGCGATGACGCACAGATTGCGCAAAGAGACTCCATCGGCTAGCCGGGTCCATTGAAGGGAGACCAACCGTGGGCGGAGGTGGGAGGGGGGTGGAGGACGGAAATGGGGAGGGGGCAGAGGAGAGGGGAAGGAGGCAAGGGGAGCAGCCACTGCAGGAATGAAGGGGAGGGAGGGAGGCTAGAGGGGGCTGCGGTGCAGGCAGAGAGCAGTGCGGGGGCGTGGGCAGGGAAAGGGGGGGAGTGACAATGACACACACCAGACACACAAGAACTGCGGACACAGGGGTGCCTGTGGGCACATGCCGGGTACCCACAGCCTAAGGCTCTGGAAACCAGGATCAGGGTGGTTGGTCAGGGGCTCAGAGAGAGACTCTTTCAGAGCATGTCCTCAACCCCCTCCTCATCTCTTCCTAGCACTGACCCTCATTCTCCTCTCTCTCAATCATTTCCCTCTCTCACACACCACACACACACACACACTCACACACACACACACACACACTCACGTGCTTTCCCTCTATAGCCAGCAGTGACTTCTTGGTTCCATCAGTGGCTTGACTTTCCCAGAAGAAAACCCATCAGCTCTGCAGGGAAAGAGGTTGAGAGCTGTTGAGAGAGGCAAGAGAAGAGAGGGGGGCAGGAAAGGGAGGAAAGAAGAAATCTGAAACAGGTAGAAGGAACAGGCTAAAGGAGAAAAGAAAAAGCTGAGAACCAAGGTGACTGGAGATACCCAGGAAAGGAGGTAGAGGAGGGGCAGCAGCCCCTGAAGCTGTGTTTCATTCTCACCTACCCACACAGAACTCTCTAGGACCTCCCCTGCCTCTGCGTGCCTCCCTCCTTCCTCGACCTCCTCCCCGTCTCCACTTCGTCTTCCCAGCTCGGTTTCCGAGAGCAGTGGAATGGGGAGGGGGTCACGTTACCTTCCTGAGGAGGATGAATCAGAGAGAGATGGCTCAGACATCTGGAGGGGGGAGGGGAAGTCACTCAAGAGAGAAGGAGGGGGGAGGAAGGGAGCCTGTGGGGCTGACTGAGAGGTTGATGGGGTGAGGGGACCTAGTGTGAGGTGAGGGGAGACCAGCCTAGAGTGACCGTTGCTGTGGGTCTGTGAGTGCATATACCGAGGTGTGTGTGTGTGTATGTATTACAGATTAATGAGACACCTTGGAGAAAGAAATGGAAGGGGAATGGGGGAGCAACTGTGAATTTGATCAGATAGAGATGGGGTGGGCATAGTAACGCTCCAGTCTGTGTAACTGTGTTTACCTCTTCAGTCGTCTGTGTGTGTGTGGGTTCTGATCCCTCTGAAAGCCCATTTACCTGTTCTGTTGGGAGAATTTAAGTGCATCTAACCTGGGTATCTGCTAGTGTCTGAAGAGAGTGCCTGGCTTGGTATGACAGTGTGTGTGTATGTATGCACATGTGTCTGCATTTCTCTGGATCCTTCCATCCCTATTGATACACATTAGAGGTTATGTGGACTTCCATGTGCCTTTGGTCTTGCCTGCCCCTCCCCCACATTTACCTTCATCTCTAGATTTCTATGTAGTAAAACCTCAGTATCCAAGTCAAGCCCCCAAGTTCAGGTCCTAACCCCTAGTTTTCAGAGTGTTCCCCCAAATCCCCACCCCTTCCTTCTTCCAACCAAGCCTAGATGTCCAAGAGAGCTTCTCAGATCCTGCAATCCTAAGAGACCCAGTCATCATGGGATGGAGGAAGGGGCATCAGGTGGACTCCTGGGGTGCCAAAGGCAATGGGTTTGGTAACTCCACAATCTGTGCCATGTCTGTGCATAGTCTCTGAATCTCTGGATCTGATTCTGCTTCTCCCCATCCCAGTTTTCTGTCGGGGTCAGCTCATTCACGCACATACCACCTTTCGGAGATGTGCTTTGCCCTTCATACCCTTGTTGCCTCTAGGGGCTTCTGGAAAAGAACTGACCAGGGGACAGACTCCTGGGTTCAGGGAGATGACGGAGAAGGCAGGAAAGAAAGAGAATGGAGAGACAACTGGGAGCAGCAAAGCTGTGATGGGGACCTGGAGGGGGTGTCTGGTGTTTGCTGAGTCGTTTGTATAAATCCATCTCTCTTTGTCTTTGCTCTGAATCTCTCAAACTCTCCAGGTGGGTAGCAGGAGAAGATGGGGATCCAGATGACTAGTAACCCAAGCTGAAGATTTGGAAAACCAGGGGAGAGGGTCAGAGCACTGAGTCTTTTTCCTGAGAAGGTTTAGGAGAAATAATGAGGGCAGGGGCTTGGGGCCCCCCGCAGCTCACCGTCTCCCATTTCCTTCCCTTCCCCCCAACCGGTGACTCACCTCTGCAGCCTTTTGTTGCGTCAGCGATGGGGGTGGGGGGGAAGCATGGAGGGTGGCACTTTATGAGGGGGCAGGGGTCTCCACTTTGAACTGAAAATGCTAAAGGTCCTTCTGAAAAAGGCTCCTTTTAAAAGCATCATTGCTCTATCCCCAGTCCAGTAGGGTGGGGAGTCCTGGAGAAGAGACTGGGAGAAGGCTGGGGGCCACTGGTGGGCCTGGGAATGATGAGTTACAGGAAGGGGGTACTCACCCTGATTTTCAATCCCAGGGTCCCATTCCCTCATACCCCCACCCACTCCTGAGTGGGGGAAGGGAGACCCAGCAAGTCGGGGGAGGGCAAAGCCGCAGAGATGAGTCACCAAGAAAGGGAGCGAGAAAGAGACAGAGATGAAGAGAGACACAAAGAGAGACAGCTGCTGGAGAGACCAAGAAGGGCAAAACTCTCAGGAAGGTGGTATTCACAAACTAACAAGAGAAAGAAAATCGTGTACCTCCATCCTTCTGAACCAACCTCCAAAATCCACCTGTCACACATAACACACAGCCATGAAGAGCGACACTGATATTCTGAGACACACCCACTTACACAAACACAGTGTCACACCTAACCTAAAAGGGTCACCCATCTAGAGACATGCTGAAAATGTGACCAGGGTACTAGAGATTCATATTGACAGCTTTCATTCCTTTAACACGGAATGGTGGGAGGGGTTGAGAACCCTCGGGGAGCGTGACTTCAAAATCTAAGACGCGGTTTCAGGGACTCACAGGCTACGCCTTGCACACTCGAGGATACATAGTCCAGTGACTCGCCTCCCCATCCACACGTACATAGCACCAAGCATAGTCCTCACGAAACATCCACTTGGAGTACCTGAGTCTGGGGTACACCAGGCACGTTGTCCCAAATACATCCTACCCACACCCCCTCTGACTCGTACACACATGAACAGAAACGCAGACACACAAAGACGCCCATGGACACACTCACACGGACCGAAACCACCTTGCGCTGCCTCGCCCGCGTCCGCGCTCGTCCTGGCGCCCCCGCGTGTTACTTTCCGGGATCGCAGTCCCCGCCGCTCCGCAGCTCGGCTCACGGGGGGGCGGCGCCCAGGTTCCCTCCACCTCCTCCTGCTTGGCGCAGCGCCCACCAGGAATGGGGAAAGCGAGGGCGCTCGGCCACGAGAGTCAGAGCTGGGAGTTAGACCCCTCGGTCGTGGGGCCGAGGGCAGCTGGTCCTGGACGCCAAGGGAAACTTGAGTGAGGAGTCCATGGAAGCAGCCCACCCCCAGAGCCGGGGGAGCGCGAGACCGCTGGGCTAGTAAGGGCGTCGCGTTGCTGCCAGCTTCGGGTCTGAGCAACCGCTCCTTTCCGCCGCTAGGCTGGGGTGGGGGTGGGGGCGTGCACGGCCAGCAGCCCTCCCCAGCCCCCCTCCAGGAAGTCATTAGCCCCATTGCCACAGGGCTTGGAGATCCTCTCTAATACAGGCTGCTGGGGAAGGGGGGAGGATAAAGCTTCTCCTTCCTCCCCACTGAGAAGTGAAACAGACACGGAGGGTGGGCAAAGGGTTCATTTTATTGCAATACAGCCTTGGTTGAAGTGACAAGGAGGGCATGGCCAGACACTGGAGACAGCCAAGCAGAGGAGAGCAGCCTAGCAGCAAAAAATGGAACTGGGGAAAGTAGGGAAATAGAGGCTATCCTCTTAACCACCTTCTTCCACCTTCTGGCGCCCTCCTCTGCCCAAGTCTTGGATTCCATCCCCAGCGAACCCTCTGCTCCCTGTAAAGGAATCTCAGGCAACAGTCCATTGTGCAACAAGAAGTTCAAGTTACCGCCATCCCAGTGTGAAGTTCTGAGGCATGCTCTGGGTTTGGGACAGCTTATGTTTAGTCCCTGCCAGCTACTGTAAGTGACTTGGAAGTTACTTGAACTATCTGAAACTCCACTTCCTCTCTGGTAGAAGTGAGGATCCAGCTAGGAGACAGTGCTGTGCAAATGTAGCTGCCATTACTTGTATTTCAGTAGAAGACTGTCAAAGTCCACAAAGCAGAAAGCAACCAATGGATGAGAGGGGTGTCCAGAGAATATCTGGAGGTGGGGGTTCCAGTCACACTAGAAGTCATCCGGGTTAGGACCAGAAGAGACAGTCCCCACACTGGACTGAGGGACCTGCCCTCCAGTACACCAAAGTCTCCAGCCTGAGCTCTCTGGACCATGGGCCTGGTTCATGGCCCTGGTTGGGGGCATGTGAACTAACAACATCTTGCGAAGTCAAAGGGATGCAGGCTCAGAAAGGTGCATCAAAGTAGGAGGCAAACAGAACAGACAAGTGGAGGGTATTATAAGTATACTTCACTTACAATGTCTCCTTATTGCACACAAGACAGGTGAGGAAGGTTATTGGAAATGGGAATGGAGGGGCAAGAAAAAAAAGGGGAATGAGGAGTTAAATGTCCTGGAGGTCCAGAAAGAAGTGGAATGGGGCGGGGGGGGCAGAGAGGACAGAGAGAAGTAAGGAGAGGACACTAATTTGGAGGCACCACAGGCTGAGAGGGTGGCAAGGATGGGATTGCAGGGCAAGTTCTGAGGGTTTGAGAAAGGGCTGGAGGAAGAAAGTGGTATGTCATGGGCAGCTGTGCTCCCGCCTGGGTCCCGGGGGGTTACAGGCGCTTTTGCCCACTTCCACCCAGGAGGAGGTGGACCGGAGACGCCAGGAAGACTTCCAGATCAGGACGACAGACAGGAAAAGTCCCTCAAGCCTATGAAGAAGCTGGTTCTTTGGCAGGGAATAGGACAGGGTGGACGACAGCAGCGCAAGGAAATCCTCCAAACCTGGAGGAGGTTCAGAGCAGGGCGTGGGCAACGGCGTTCGGGGATGTTAAGAGGTGAGCAGGAGATAGAGGGGTACGTGTACAGGAGGAGGGACTGGCACAGGGTAAGCGGAGGTGTCGGAACCGCCAAAGGAGGGCAGGACAGGAGGCGGAGCTTGCTGTAGTAGGGGGCGGGGCTTTCTGGGGATTGCGAAAGGGAACGGGTCTAAAGTGCACCTCTCTGCTCCGAGAGGCTTGAGATGTCGGTCTCCAGCAGGTACTGTTCAGGGTAACCCTTGACCAGCTCGAGTCCCGAGCCGTCCTGGCAGAAGTCAGCGAGCCGTGACCACAACTGGGGCGCCAGGAAGAGCTGACACCTGCCGTTGAGACCTGCTAGACGCGGCGCCTGGCGCTTCGGGTGCCACAGAAACTGACTCTGCACCTGCTCGCCATCGCTGCCAAAGGCGTCGACGTTGAGGTCGCGCCACGTGCCGTCTCCGCCGTGCGGAAGGGGGAAGGGCGCGTGCACAGCGTGAGCCCGCGCGCGCGGCTGCCCACGCACCACTCCAGGCCCTCGGCCGCCAGCAGGCGCAGGTTGCGCGCAGTCGGCCCGTAGGGCTGCGGGTCTTGGATGACGGTCCCGCCCGGGAGCACGTCGTGCTGCACGACAGCGACAGCAGGAGGCGTGCCGCGTCGCCGTCCGCCTCCCACACGGCCTCGGCGGGCAGCGGCGAGAAGGTGCCGGAGGCCCTCAGCGCTGCCAGTCGCGCACCCAGGCCGGCCAGCAGCGCTGACGCGTTGACTCGCACCGAAAGGATGCCCTGCAGGGGGCACGAGTAAGGACGGGGCGGGCGGTGGGAAGGCTGGCAAGCCCGGCACCTCTGGGTATCTGCATTCCCACAGTTACACCCATGGGCTCCCAGCAGAGTCCCTCGGGAGGGCCTACCTGCAGGGCCGGGTGCACTGGGGTACACGAGAGCCTGGAAGGCCTGGGTCCCCGAGGGTAGGATGGAGGAACCAGGGACAAGGCCTCTGAATACCCGGATCCGCAAGGAGCGGTGGGATCAGTGCAGGAACCAAGGAACTGGGTGTGTGGCGGCTGGGTATCCGAGGGGAGGGAAGCAGATCAGTTTGTAGGAAGCAGGAGGTGGAGGGGGAGGACAAAGGCACAGGTTAGGACGTTAGTGTCCCAGAAGGAAATAGGATCGATGGTGGGGAGGCAGGGTCGGTCACGGAAGTCCGGACGCCCAGACTCTCCAGCCCCTGGGGTAGCCCCTGGGGACTGAGGCTGACGGTTGTATTTCGGGGGCTGTTTGACTTGCCGTGGGCAAAAGAGGTTAGGTTGGGACTGGGAATCCCAGGACAGGGCTCAGGGGCGCCCCCACTCGGTAGAGCCGACTGAGAAAGGAAGCCAGTGATTGGCCAGGGAGGATCCCCAGAGCCCCGGGAGGGGCCGGGCCCTCGGAGCTTCCCTGTTCTCACCTGCTTGGTAACTAGGCGGTATTTCTTCAGCTCCCGGGGGCCCCGCTGGTCGTCCCGGGTGAGCCGTACCACCTTGACCCCCGGGTGCTTTTGCACGACCAGCTTCCAGCAGAAGCGCTGCAGCAGCCCCGCCACGCCCTGGCCGCGCTCCCAGGCGCCACGCGCAGCCCCTCCACCAGGCCGGCTCCCCGGCGTCGATCACGTGCGCCGACTCCAGCGCGATCTGCGGACCGAGGCCATTAGGGGGCCCCCTCCCTGCCTCCGCCCTGCCAGGACTCTCGGCTCTCAGGGCTTGGCTCTTCCCACACGCTGAGCGCTCCGTCGTCACCAGCCGGGGCTCCAGGCCAGAGCCGGGGCCTGCCCAGGAAGCTCTCCTCATCACTCGGGTCTCGGGTTGCACAGCCGGCAGGATGTCATTCGCCGGGATCTCTTCCACTTCTTGAGATGCTCCAGCTCCTCCGGGCTCCGGGTTCCGGGCCACTCACCACGCCCCCTATCCTTCGCTCCACCCCCAGAGCTTGCCAAGCCCCCCATAGCTACCACGCCCCGCTGCCTCATAGCTCCGCCCCGAGCCCTTCGCGGAGCGGGTCCTGCGCACAGCGCACAGGTCGTCTTTGTGCGGGAGTTCCGTTTGCTCCGGGATCCTGGCTCCCACCCACAGACCTACTCCCTCTTGCCTCATCTCCTCTTTTTGCTCTCCTGCCCCCAGAAATTCCTCAAACGAATTCAAACACCGAAGCTCTCACCGGCCCCTCCCTCCGATTCCACCACATTTTTGAGTTGTATTCAGCCCCTACTCCACCCTCATCGGCTGGGTTGCTGGATCCGCAAGCCTTGCTCTTTGGTTCTAAAGCCGACTTTGGTTCCTCAGCATCCGGACGAGGGTGGGGGAGAAGCTCGCTTCCACTCCATCCTAAAATCCATGCACCCCAACGTAGCCTCACCCCTTTTCATCTGGGCCCCGCCCCCCGACGCTCACCACTCCTCCATTGCGCTTGGCCAGCACCACGGTGCGATAGGGTTCCCGGAGCCAGCTGTGGTAGCGGCTGGGAAGATAGTCCAGGCCACCGTAGATGCCCCCAGAGATGGCCAGCATCTCCTGAAACTCCCGTTCTGGGGCCACCACGAAGTCCAACTGTTCAGCCTCAGGCCCCAGTCCTGACCTGGGTTTGGCCCCCAAGGACTTGGCCTTGACCTCAGACCCTGACTCAGTCGCCAGGGACTGGGCCTCAGTCTCAAGGCCCAATTGAGACTTGGACTTTGCCCCAGCCTCCTGTGGCTTGGGCTCTGAGCAGGGCTCCGCCTCCAGCTCGGTATCTTTTTCCAACTTAGGAACCTCTGAGGTGGCTATGCCACAGCTGGCTTCCAGCTTCATTACCCTGCAGAAAAGAAAGAACCCAGCACCTCAATCAGAGCCCCCCTAGAGACAGTCCCCACCATCCCTTCCCACACAAACACCCCATCTCTTCTGCTCTCCATACAGTCCCTGGGAACAGAGGACCTCAGCCCACCTCCAACCCCTGCTCAGCTCCCAGTACTACCCTAACCCACGTTACCAGAGACTCAACAGTCAAATCTCAGACCTTGTCAGCTCTTCAGAGATTAGATCTCCTCCATTCCCCCAAATACTCCCAGGGACTCAAAGGAGAAAAGGCCTTGGGGGGAGGGGGTAAATAATGTACCTTCAAGGATTCCACCACCTCTGCAAGACTTTTTGCAAGAACACAAGGAATTCCTTTCCTCTCCACTCTGCCTATAAGAGGATGCCTGGGAAAAGCATAGGGTTCAACTCCCCTTTCTTGCCACTGCCACTTATAATCCCAGAGCAAAGGCAGGGCCATGTAGACCCCAGATCTCCTCCATATTGCAGATCTCTGCCATAGTGTAGCCCTCTGGGAACCAGCCATACGCTGACACACATATTCAAACCAAAGGAGTAGATGGATGGACAGCTCCATTAGAGAATTTCAAGTAATTCCTCCCAGGTTAATCAAAATAGCCCCTTTCTTCCTCCTGCTTTGCCCTCCTCCTCCTCCTCCTACTTTTTAGGGAGAGTTGGCCCCACTCTAGGGCTTTTGAAAGGCCTTATTGGAGATACAGCAAACCAAATGTCCACCAAGATCACCCAGGCCCCTCTCTCCACTCGGCTCCCTCCAAAGACGCAATTCCCCCCCTTCTCCCTCTATTTTTTTTCCCTTACTGTAATTCTTGCCCTACCTTCAACTCAAGACTTTCTCCTCCCTTTCAATCTTCAAAGTCTCCTATTTAGGTCAGTCCCCTACAGATCTGGCACCACTTTGGCCTCTGACTCTTCTATTTCTGCTGCCCAGAGACAGGGCCAAAGAGAAAGCTTCCTCCCCAAGTCCTGATGTCTCCTTTCTCCAGTCCTCTCTCCCCCAGACCAACCAAAGCAACCAATTAAATCCCTCCTTCCCTCTTGCAGTCAATTATGATCCTCCCCTCACATTACACCTCATTAATCTACATCCCAGAGGGCATGCATACCAGCTACTTTGTAGGGGGCAAGGCGAATGATATTGGTTTGGGTGGACTTACTACTTTTTAAAATAAGAATTTGACCAAGGTTTGGGAGAAGGAGCATGCAGTGGTACCAAGGAGCAGTTTAGGTTTGATTTTAGTTTCCATACCATAAACATAAACTGTGCTTCCTCTACAAACAAAGTTTCAAAACATCTGCTTCTTTTTTTTTTTTTTCCAGTCTTAGGCTGATGCTAAAGCTCTACTAAGTGAGCCTGAATGAGGTAGCACAGCGTTGGGCCAGTATCATCAAAGAGCAAGAGACACGCAGGCTCAGAGTATCTGAGAGGCCCTGCTAGGACTACTGAGGCCACCATGTTCAAGGAGTTAAGATCTTGTGTAAGGTGACTCAACTTGGGCAGAGCCCAGGCTAAGAATTAAGTTTTCCTAGCTCCCAAGTCAGTGAGTGAGACCTCTTTTTGGTGTATCTGCATTCCAAACCCAGGCAGAAGAGCAAGGATAGAAATCACTGGGTCCACAACAGGGGTCAAAGGGCCCAAGTGCTAAGGGCAAAGCTGACTCAGAACCAGAGATGGGGTTTTAGGAGGAACCCCCACTGCCCTCCCCACACTGTCAGCAATTCCTATGCCAACAATAAGCCTGGGGCCAGCTCAAGCATCAGACTCCTTGCACCAGGCTCTGGGGCCAATGGGTCCACAGATGAGCAGGTTACTCCTTGTGACTTCCATCTGCATCTCCAGGCAACCTCTCCAGTTGTTCCAGGTCCCTGGAAAATACAAACTGGTGGCCCAGTGGTGACTCCAGCAATTCCTCACTGCCCGAGAGAGGGGAAGAATGTGAGCAACTTGAAGATTGAAGTACATCCAACTAATGCAAGACACCAGGCTCCATTTCCCTCCCTTTCTTTCAAGATGGCAAGAGACTATTTCCAAAAGGTGTCTCTATATCTCAGATAAAGTTGTTTCTAAGGGGAAGGGGGAGTCCCCAGGGTCACAGGGAAGAAGCAGGAACATGCCAATTTATTTTTGTCCCAAAACACTCCTCTACTCCTATTTACTTTTGGGGGAACACAAAGGTTCCAAGGTCCATAAACCCAGGCGGAGCCGGAGGCTGGGAATACAGGTCAAGGATTCAAGACCAAGCCAACGCTGCCAACTGACCCTACAAATCTTGTTCCAAGCTCCGATCCCTTCCCACCCTCCAGAATAGCCCCTTAAACTTGGTTACTTGACTCTAAAACTCACACAGTGTGTCTAGGCAAAGGCAGAGACAGCAGCAGCTATGTGCCTCCAGGGTGCTGTGGGAGTTGTAGTTTGGTCTTCCTCTGGACCAAGCTCCAGGAAGAAGGACAGCATGTCCCTTGCCATCCATATTCCCACAATCTTGCATCCATGCTTTCAGTCTCATAAATATGAATGATCACTGCAGGGCGGGGATGATCGCTGTCATGGCTGGGCGTGCTGGGAGCCCACCCCTCTACCCCACCTCCACCGCACCCCACACACCTGAAATGTTGATGCCCTTGAAGTCGACAGTTTCTCGGAGCTGGAAGAGGAAGGAGAGGGACCCACAGCGGAGGGAGAGGCGCAGACAAAGAGAGGGGAGCTAAACAAAGCGCCCAAAGAAGAGCGAAAAGGACAGGAAGGAAGGCAGAAAGGAGACAAAGGCGTCCAGGGAGCTTGGGGCGGGAGGGGATGGGAGAGGGGAGCAGGAGGAGGCACTGATGCCGAGTCACAGACATGACACCTCGTGACTCAGGGCCCAGCAGATGCCAAAAAAGTCCTAGCACGCACCCCCTCCCCAGGGAAGCCATAAATAGAAAGCAGCGTGACACACCCCCTTCTCTCCCGGGCCTGGGGCAGGGAGGGCGGTCTGGGGAGGAGAAAACCAGAACAGCGGCAGAATGTGAATTGAGACCTCAAGAGCGAAGGCGGGAGACAGGAAGAAGCCCATGGGGGATGAGGAAGAGGGACCAATGGGCGGGGTGTGTGAGTGAGGGTACCCCAGGGGGTCACAACCGTGGAGGGGGGCTGTCCTGGAGGGTCTTCCCTTCTCCTGGAGTCGGGTGGGGAAGGCAGGAAGGAGGAAGATTCTGAAGGAAGCTTTCTACTAGTCAGGGGTCCCCCTGGGCACCGGTTTCTGGAGACAGGTAGGAGAGCAATGGCGACCAGACAGGGAAGGGATGACGGGAAAGCGCATCTGAACCCGTCAGCGAAGCCCCATACCAGTTATCTCGGTCGCCGGGCGGGAGGGCTGGCCCGCTGGGGCGCGGCGGCTCTCTTCCTCCGGCGGGCGGGCCGTGGCTTTGTGCGGCCGGGTCTCGCGCTGGGGGCGCAGGGGAGCAGGCCAGCCCCAGCCCCCGGGCGGCGGGCACCCCCCTCGCGGGCGCCGGAGCCAGGGCCGCGACGCTGAGAAATGGAAGGGGGCCCGGCCCGCAGACAGCAGTGTCGAGAGAGGGGTCCCTTCAGGGCCCCGAGGGTCACATTCAGCCGGCCCGTGAGCGCCGCGCCGCGCCGTCGGGTCCCGACTCGGAGTTCGAGCGCGGCCGCAGGGTCCGCGCCGCAGTGGCTCGGGCTCGCGGGCTGGCGCGCCCGGAGGGCCGGGGCTGCAGCGGGCGCGTTGCTCCCACCAGAGCTGGTGCCAGGCCCCGGCGGCGGCTCCGGGAGGCGGAGACCCTAGCAACGCGGGGGAAACCCGGCGCGGATCTGGAACGGACTCGAGTCTGTCTGGGGGCAGGCTGGGGCGCCGTGAGGGGCGAAACAGGGGGATAGTAGTTGCGGGGATTGGGGAGGAGGAGGCGCGAGGTCCCAGCGGCTGGCACTGCGGGGCGCCTCGAGTCCGCACCACGAGACCCCGCCCCTTGTCCCGGCTGCGCGGCGGGACCGAGGGTGGGAGAGGGCTTGGGTAGAGGAGTGATTGTGTATCAGGGTCGTCCCCAGGAAACGGGGTTTGGGCTGCACCTCTCCCTGCCCTGTAGCAATTGCTCGTTTAGTTATCACCCCATGCAACGCCTCACTCGATTTGGGAGTGGGAGTCCCCACCCTCCCGAGATCCCCTGGTCACCCCCTTACGGTAATTCCCTCTCGCTGAATTCCCGCTGCCAGATAAGAGCTACTGGAAAGGGGGCGCGGCGCCTACGGCCCTGGGGACCTGGTCGGGGAGACTGGAAGAGGAAATTGGAAACCCGTGAAGAGTGGGAAACAGAGAGATACCGAGAAACGGAAGCTGGGAAGCTGAAAGGAGCGGAGCAAGCTAGGCCTAGATGAGTCAGATGGCCTACCACTCCCTGGGGTTCCAGAGCAACCTCACCTCCCCGCCCCGCCCCAGCCCCCAGAACTGGACCACCTCTGCAAGCCTCTGGTGGCGCCAGGCAGCAAGGCCCCCACACACATCCCGCAGGGCGTCACACCTAAAGGCTTCCAGGTACACCTGTGTGCACTGCATCCTCTCTCTCTCTCTCTCTCTCTCTCTCTCTCTCTCTCTCTCTCTCTCTCTCTCACACACACACACACACACACACACACACCTTGGCCCACAAGAAGGCTGTGGGGGCAGCACCAGGGAGGCTGGGCTACCTGTGCTAACCCAAACAGGTGGCAGAAGAGCAAAGCATGGGCCGGAACTTCCAGTGGGTGCAGGGATGTGCCGGGCGGGTAAGTTAGTGGCCTACATTCGTAACTCTTGAGGGGCTCCCTTCCAGCTCCCATAAAGCGAGGCACCAGGTAAGTGGTGAATGTAAAGTTCTTTAGCAATTGTAAGGTGCCCTGAAGGTACAGGGAGTATTAAAGTTTGTGAGGATAGGACCCCCCCCCAGCTTTGTTCTCATCCCAGCTCCCTCAAAATTGATCACTCACCCGTTCCATTCAATTTTTAAACTTTCCAGGGTGGTAACTGTAATCGGGAAAATGTATCCCATTGGCTGTGCTAATGGGATAAGGTGGAGGGTCATGTTCCTGGATTCCCATCCATCAAAGATGAAAGGTATGAGAATCATCACTGGAATTATAGGTCCAGAGAAGCCCGAGTAGTAACTGGCGAGTTACTGAAGGCTTTTTAAGACTTCTCCAGTTTCTGAGTTTGAAACTGCTGACGCACTACATGACTCAAAGCTGCAGTGAAAAGGGGGAATGTGCGTATGTGGGAAAGCACTTCAGAAAGCTCAAGGCATCAGTGGCCTGAAGGGAGATGCAGTCACATTTTAACTTCTTCCCTTTCAAGGGAGACACTCCTGTCACCAGATACCCTGGAACTGTCTAACTTTCACCCTCTTCAAGTTGCCCCACCCAATCAGAATAGAAAGTGCCCTGAAGCTCCTATCCCTTCAGCCACTCAGAAGCAAGATCTCACTCCAAGTTCTGTCTCCAGACAGCTCATTGGGCCAATACGGAAAACCATCTGGTTCCAAAAATCACTTTGCTCAGACTTCTATCCGAAATCCGCTGGAGAACAGGGGCAGTGGAAAGAAGCCAAAGATGACTGATCTCCTGGCTGCCCCATGGAGCAAGAGAATAGAGGCTTTCTGCATTCTCTGAACTCTGAGGATACAGGGAGCTGTGCTACTGTGCTTGAAAATTCACTGGGGCCAAGGCTGGTTTGGGATAGAGGTGTGATCTGCTGGGTTCAAGAAGCTAGAACCCTGACTTCCCTGGCCTGGGATCCTGGGTCACCCTATCTGGTGGTCACCTAGAATGGACTACAGAGCCATCTGGAATGTTTACAAAACACTTTGGTTTAATCCTCATAACACTGTAGAGTGGACAGCATTGTTCAGTCATTTTACCAAAAAAAGTGGATTCTGAGTTGTTGCATGCTGTGGCTAAGCCCCATCTCTGGCAAGGGATGCTAGATTGGGTCCTCTGATTGCAAACTCACAACCTACTGGATTCTCACCTCTGAGGGGCCAAATGAGATAAGCCTTGTGAAAGTATTTTGCAAACTACAAGCCCCAAAACAAATGTCTGTGAAGACCAGTGCATTCTGAATTCTGTAGACGCTTCCTTTGGCTTTGACTCAGCAAGCTTGTTTATTGGGGTCTTTTATTTGGGAGAGGCTAGTATCCCCTCCTTGGGCCAGGTGCGTGGTAACACTGATCCCTGTTATTGCAGTTGGGGTTGCCCTCCTCTGCGGGCACTGGACATCCACTGCTTCTTCCCCCGCAATGAGCCACCATGGATCTTCTTCCCTGATCTGCCCTGAACACCACTGAGCTTGACCGTGAACTCTTGTAGAACAGAGATACTGGCATAGTTACCTTTGTGCCTCTGTTAACCAATAGTAGGTGCTTAATAAATATTCTGTGAATGAATGAATGACTTCAATCTACTTCTGCACTTGGGGAAGTGAGATTAAATTGATCTTCTATTGATGGCCACGCAGGTAGGTGGGGGTCAAGCCAGACTCCTGGTATCTGACTCCAAATCAACGTGCAGCCCTGCCTCACAGTGTATTTCTAAAGTTCTGTGCTTGAATGTACCTGAAACTGCATGTCCTCATTTCCCCAATCGATACATTTCTCTCTCTAGCCTACATTAAACAATACTGGCCATCATGTCCACTCACTCATTCAGCAACCATTAGTGTCATCATCTCTGGACTCCGTTGATTCTACTTCTGCTCTCAAGAAGTACCTGGCCATCAAAAATAATTTTTAATGGGGCCTCCCTGGTGGCGCAAGGCGTTGGGATGCAGCACTACGAAGCTATCCGCAGCCACTGCAACATGTGTTCGATCCCCAGCAGGGAGGGGACCCATATGGCGCAGCAGAACTCTCCTGTCTCGCCTACTGCTCCCCTCAGCAGTGTATTTCAGTCAGTCTGCCTGTTCTGTTTCCCCACTCTGTCTCTGATGAATCCTCTCACCCCCCACACCTCTGGCCTACACCCCAGTTCTTGTATGCATAAATAAATAAATCTTTTAAATAAATTAATTAATAAAATATTTCTATCTCTATATGTTCCTCTAGTGGCAAACCTGTAGGCAGGCAAGGCAGGGAGGCCAGGGGAGCCTGGAGGCCAGCTTCATCCAATCCCCCAGGCCCCAGTGAATCTTTATGCTTTCTCTGGGATCCCTGTCCTGTGTCTTCTCGTGGCCTCGCCTCTTCTGTAGTCACTTGTCTTCTCATAGCTGTCCTCCATCTCTGAGTGATGCCATCCTTATAGCGCTGGCCTCTAGGCTCAGGTGTGCACACTTACGCATGCCCACACCCATACCCCATGTGTCCACAATCAGGCACGTGTGCCCTGTGCTCACACTCCCAAGTGCCTTCTGCATGGACACGACCAAGGTCACAGGTGATAGCCATAGAGGCTAGAGGCGCAAAAAGCCTGAGTAATTCCATTTACCCTACAGTTCCATAGACCGGTCTATAGCCACTAGCCCTGTGAGGTGATTAAGACCTGAAATCTGGCTGGTACAATGGGGAGCTGAGTTTTTTATTTCATTTCATTTTAATTCATTTAAATTTTAAAATGGGGCCTCCCCGGTGGCGCAGCGGTT